CTGTAACCCGGTCCAGTCTGTAACCCGGCACACATGCAGGACTCCACTAACACATGGACCCGTGGTTCTAACTTCAGTCCTGAGCTCGGTTCGCTAACAGCTCGGCTCCGGACGGGAGCAGGTCGCCTGGAAACATGTCAGAGTCCTAAAGCTGCTGCTGCGGAACCAGTAGAAGTGGACCGAGCCCCGGTTCTTCTGTCGCTGCTCGTGTTTCATGTTTGAAGCCTAAAACCAGTTGGTGGAGGCTGAAGACGCCCATGCGCAGCAGGCTTCCTCCATATGGCCGCATGAGCTCAACCCGAACCCAAAACAAACCCAAAAACAACCCAAAAACAACCTAAGACCAGCACTAACTGAAGCAGGCAGCACGGTCACTGACTACTGAGCAGAACGGGTCCAAACGTTACCAGAACCACAGCTTCCCTGTCATTACACAGAGTTAGCACCGGTCCGGTGTCGGTACCAGAACTCAGCTAGAACATGTTCACATGAAACACACCTGAAACAGCCGAGGTCAGCAGCGGGCTGGTGCTCTTCTGTGGCCGGGTTCTGGCGTCCAGACGGTCCGGTGGAGATGTGCAGCGGAGCGGCTGCTCTGTGCGCGTCGGTCCGGGAGTCTGTGACTGGTCCGTCAGGAGGTAACGTCCTGTGCCGGCTCTCCGACCCGCCCACTGCTCCCAGCGCTCCCACTGTGGGCTCAGCCTCCCCACCAGCCTCAGCGCGGGACTTCACCTCCTGCTGGCCGCGCGCCGCTCAGTCACACCGGAGTGACGGTGTAGAAATGAAACACACCGCCCGGGAGACGGTGTAGATATGAAACACACCGCCCGTGAGACGGTGTAGATATGAAACACACCGCCTGCCGGGACTCGGTTCCTGGAGCCTCTGTGGGAGTGGTGCTGGTTCCTTTTCCTTCATTCAGTCACACCAGGAAGTCCAGCAGGGCCCAGCCCTCTGCTCCTGCAGCACTGATGGGGTTGGTTTCAGCCCAGCACCATGTCGTCATCTCTACACATGGCTCCGTGTGTTATCTCACTCCAATGTACACATTCTTCACATACTTTGGTCCTGGAACATTCCTGTGGTTTGATGAATCCAAGTGCAGCAGGTTTCCTGATGTTGGGTTTATATATAGAACACAGTCAGAGGAGAACAGCCTGGTCCTGCACATCAAAGCTCTGTTCATGGACACACTGATTGTTTGATCTTTGTCTGCAGACTGGCACACCCATCCAGCTAAGTCCTGGACACACCAGCCGAACCCAGAGCTTAAAACCACAAGAACAACCTTCAGCTTGCACACCTGGTTCCTGTGAGTGCTGAGCAGCAGGAGGCCACACGTTGAACAAACGTTCAGTGGGTTGACATTTAAATGGAGTCTGGCGCTGCTGCTGCTGCTATGAGTTCATCTTTCTCTCCACAGAGGTCACCAGATGCCATCAGACTACAGAGGAGGGACACAGTCAGCGTTTTCAAAGAGTTCTCCT